TTATAAATGGATTCTGGATTATATCTTTTTGAACATTTTATTGTTTTTCTCCAAAACTAGAGAAGGCGTTAAATTATTACTCCATTCATTTTTTAAGGAAGTCACAAAATGCCGTTCCTTACCCGCAAACACGGTCGAAATGAATCCTTTTCATTATATTATGCGCCTAAAATAACGGCTTTAAACTACGCAGAAATGCTACATTGCCAGTTTACTACCTCGTAGGAAGTCATAAAGTACTACAACTAAACATACTGTGAAGTCATAACTTATGACTACGTGCGACAGACATACAAAGATTACATTACGAATTGCGATGCGAGCGCTAACGATCCCGGCCTGAACTAAAACTGATAATGTAGGGATAAATCGTAGACCTTGTGACATCATGAGAAATTTTTGCAGAAACGTTGCTAAGGCCCTCAAGGTTATATTGGCAAAATTTTATATAGAAAACGTTGTGACTTCTTATTTCGTTCCGTTAATTGAGTATCTTGAGTATATATATATATATATATATATATATATATATATATATATATATATATATATATATGATGACACTATATTCCGGGATATCATCCGTTCGCTCGTTGAACTCCGACTGGAATCCTGCATCCGACTGGAATCCTGCAGACGTTTCGCCAAAATCTCACTTGGCATCTTCAATGCTCGCGCTCCGAAAACACTTCGAACACTGGAGCGCGAGCATTGAAGATGCCAAGTCGGAGTTCAACGAGCGAACGGATGATATCCCGGAATATAGTGTCATCACATTTTTCCATCCGTGAATCAATACGTGAGAATATATATATATATATATATATATATATATATATATATATATATATATATATATATATATATATATATATATATATATATATATATATATATATATATATATATATATATATATATATATATATATATATATATATATATATATATATATATATATATATATATATATATATATATATATATATATAAACTGGTCATTAACAACTAACAGCACTAATTGCACTAATTCAGGTTCGTGGAGAAAAGAAAAATATTTTCCAATTCATTCGATTGAGTTCAGAGCTTGTGTATCTGAAACAACCTCTTCTTTTGCGTCTTAATTATTGTCGGCGACGTTCATTAAATCTTGGACAATTACATCATTTTCACGAAGTCCCTCCGTCTCTAATTCGTCATCCACATTGACGAAAGTTCTCCAATCGTCTTCAGTAGCGACATCATTTAGAGTCGGCATGTTTTCAACCCATTGACAAAGGCAAATCAATTTCGGATTCATTGTCTGACTCCTCGTTTTCTGAATTTAAGAATCCAGCGTGAGCAAAGCAATGGGCTATCGTAGCCTGCATGACGTGGTCCTAAACATCAGACATCCACAGGATAGCACCTAATAAATTAGGTTGAACACCGCAACCAGGTTCAATATCTTTAATATCCTTTAAAATTTAAATCTTTCGAAAATATTTTGTTAGGGCTGAAGTAACGCCGTGATCTAAAGGATTGGGAATAGTTGTGGTATTTCTCGCAAGAAATATTCAGTATAACAGAATCTTTCTCTTTTGTGCTGTAAACTTTAAATCGAACAGTTCACCTGTAATCCACGCTTTTATGTTGTTCTCAAATATCACAGAAAAGTCTTTATGTTCAGCGTAGATTTTTCGCCTGACCATTAACGATTAATTTTAACTTTTCTGTCCCTCATATTTGCTGCTGGTGGGAGAGTTGTTAGATCTTTGGTATTTTTTCTCCACTGCATTTTTCACCTTTAAATCTCATAGTCTTATCCGGGGTCATTTTGAAAAATAGACCAGTTTCATTAATATTAAATATGTCGCTATCTTGGTATACTTCCCTGATTTTAGGCCAAACACTTGTTAGCCAATTATCACAAAGAGTTTCGGAAACAGCGACAGCTTCACCCGAAATTTTCCCCCAAGATATACAGTGACGTTTGCGCCATCTTAGTAGGTAACGAACTGAACCTTTGAAATTTTGCACTCCCATTTTTAAAGCCCGTTCGCTGGCTTTAATGGGCACGGCTGGTTCATTAATGGGCACGTTGTGACTTCTCTGAATTTAAGAAAAGCCTGATCCATATTTTCGTAATTTTATTTGATTTCATCCCGTGTTTTGCAAATTGTTGCACAGTGAACATTCTACGTTTCTTTTTTTTTTAGTTAGTTTTAGAATTTTAGTTTACAGCACGTTGATAATTTCGAGGCTCGGGGAAATTACCCGCGTCAACTGTCGACGAGAATAAGGAGAAATAGACCCAGGAATAAGTGAATGTAAATGGTAGAGGACATAGAGGAACTAGGAATGCAGGATTGGCGAAGACAAGTGATGGATAGAAAAAAATGCAGGAAAACATGCAACTAAGCCATGGGCCGTCTTGGCTGACTTTATATTAAAATGGACGCATATCCCATAACTAAGGAAACAATTTCAGAAAATAATAAAAGTTGCGGAAACACTGGCAACACGCAAGAACTGAAGAAAAGAAAAAACTTCCTTAAAGCCACTCGAATGCTCACACCACCACAATCCACCCACCCATTAAAAATGACAATATGTGGGCTAGAAATGAGAAATAATAGCGTATTTAAACGCTGTCCTTCAGAACTATCATCTGAAGAAGAAAAAGACAGACTTCCTGGACGTGCCTTTGTAGATGGAACAGCCTCATAAGAAATTTACTGTTAAACAACATAAACAAACAATAATGAATGAAATTAATATCAAGAAAGGGATTCGATCCAATCTCCGCGAAAATTTTGCAAGAACTCTCGAAAAATGTTTAAAACCCACCACATTTATATTCCACGCAAAACTGCCAGCACGGTAAAAAAAAAACAAAAAATGTTTCAACCTACCGGCTTATAAGCTAATTACCTATGCTTTTCAAAGTCTTTGAGAAGACGTATGTTAAAAGACTCAGAATAATAATAGACGAAAGAAAAATAATTCCAGAACATTAATTTGGATGCCGAAGCAAGCACGGTTCAGTAGAGCAAGTACACAGTCTGGTTAACCAATTAAACAAAGAACACCTGCTTTTCTCGATATATCTCAGGCATTTGAGCAGGTGTGGCATACTGATCTGCAAGTCAAATACCGCACTCCCATTTCCAGCTGCTAAAATCATATTTGTCAACGAGATAAATCCTGGTGAAACAGGGCTGCAAATGTACGATATGCAAATGCGTAAACTCTATATATTCGACCGTTCCCCAAGAAAGTTTGATTGAACTAATATCCACTCAGATGACAGAGAAACATTCCCTCCGGTGAAGATTAACGATGGTCAACCCTCACAAGCTGTATGTGCTATATTTACTAAGCGCAAGCAGCTGAGACTTAAACTAAGCCACATGTTGTCCGAAAATCCCAATTATCCTTAAGAAATAAGATCTCTAGCCCATCTGGATTGATGGAATTCAACTATGAAGTACTGCTAGTAACTCGAATACTAAAATCTTGCAGAGGTTGATTCACCATGACTTCCCTTTGCAATTCATCAAGTGGAGCCGTACCAGCTACAGTGAACGAGTGCTAGGACATCCTAATGAGCCGGCTGAAGAGAGTGTTGCCATCTGATCTAATTACAGAACCCAGATAAGTTTAGACTTAAGATCACACAGACAAACAAACTCTAGATTTGAGATTTAGATTATTTTTTAATGGAGATCCCTTTTCTAATTTAAGAACCCTAAATAATAAGCAAAGTACGTCACTTAAAGACAAGGATCTAATAACGAAGAACCTAAACGAACCGTTCCAGACGTTGACAATTTGATGTCAAGAACTAGCTACTCAAGAAAGAAATTAGTTCAGGAAAAAGTGGAAATGCTTCACAACAGCCTCTTCAAATTAAATATTGAAAAAAATCAGGTTCACGAGAGTATTAGACAATCGCCAGTCGCCGTCCTCCAACCATATAACGAAGAGCAAGGAATTGGACAATACTCTAGCATAAAAAAGGGAAGTCCAAAACAACAGTGGGCGCACACGGAGCAGAAACCTCCACCTCAAACCCTCTGTCCGGCACTTCTCTGTGTATCAAAAAAGAATACAGTACCCAGTCCCATACTCCTCGATTATTCAATTGATAGTATTGTCTTGGACAGGAACGATACCGTCAGACACCTGATGTGAAAAGAAGCATGCATTGGGTTGCAAAATTTTATAAATAGAACGGCACTGTTTTGCTATCTAACATAAAAAAAACTATTGATTATAAGCAAAGACAACATGAATATCGGTTATCTTATAATTAACCAAAAACCGATAAAACCAGTGGAATTCTGATAAACAACAACTACATTCAGCAAAATGATATTTCTGTCACATAACAATGTACAGCGAGATAATACTTCTGCGCTCTTACATGATCTCTATTCAGTTTTATAGGGTTAAAGCTACCACAAAGAAATTGGTCCAGGTTGAGGTCTCGAATATTGCAATCTAATTTATATTATGATTGAAAAATCTCAGAACCTGGTTTCGTATGAGTACCACTGAATTATTCCAAGCTGCAGTAAAAAATCAATGCCATATACATTTTGCCCATACGTAAACTATAAATTCTATAACAATCAGGAATTCCACTATACTACACTTCATTTCATTTAACAACTCTTGTTTGTCGAAGGAAACAGAGGGACTTAAACACTCATGCTATATGTATATTTCACCAGGAGTTCCATAGTTCCACTCGTTACTGAATTAAGAGACTTAATGTTTTACGGACGGACATTTCTTACTGCAGTTATAAGAAAATCAAAACGTGCTCGTGATGTTTATCTCTAACTTGTAATGGTATCGCTGATATTGTTATTTAATATTAATCTTCTCTGTTTTGTTCTCTTTGTTAGTATTTTGTACTTTCACTTCTGGAGAGGGGTTTCGGTTGTATGATATATGAAAATAAATAAAATAATCAAATAAATATAGTTATTAAGAAAATATTATCTACTTACCAAACTGCCGTGAGTGGAATGTTCGGGGTCGTTAGGAAACAGCAATATATCGATTATAATCCACAAACCCCGCCAAACAAACACTACCAAATTGCCGACGACCAACACTGAAAAGATGCAGTCCAACACGAAGAGCGAGAATTTGTCTTTAATCTGAAACAAGTGATATTGGCCTTCTCTAAATTAATATTAACGATTAAATACTAAATACAAATCTCAAAATTAATGTAATCCAAAAATCTGGTGTTGACTTGTGAGTTAAACATTGAACATTTACGTTGGAACATGTAAACGGAGTTTCAAAACGATTGGTGCATAGAATACCGGAAAAGCTATCGAGATACAGGGTGATGAAAGTATTTCTATTTTTTCGTATTTTATTAGATACGTTCACAATTTTAAAAATGTATTTATATTTTTTTTTGCATTTTTTTTTTGCATATTCTCAAATTTATTTTTCTAGTATTTTTTAAGTAAACAAGATATTATTGCTCCGTATGTGTATTGTAAGAGATTAGATGTTAACATTTTTATTTAACAATGCAATCCAATTTTACTGCAAAACGTATTACAATTTATGGAAATGATTAAGCAATTGTAAGAAATTATTTTAATTTAAATTGTCCGCATAAATAGCCGCTTCTTGAATGGCCGGCACGTAGTCCGGATTTTAATCCAAAGGATTTTTGTCTTTGATGCTTTTGACCCAATAAACAGTCGTGAAGAAGTTTGGCATAAAATTCAGGATACTGTTAATGAGGTTCGAATAAAAAATCCTTTCAATAATTACAAAATGTAGAACATCTACTTTAAGTTTTTTTTTGGAACAATTATTAAGTTTGTTAATTAAATAAAATTTGATTTAATACACAATAAGTTGGTTTTTTTGCCCTTTCAAGTCTTCTTTGTTTTTCGGTATTCACTCTCAATTATCGGTATGATCATTTAAAAGTAAAATTTTAAATAATAAATGAATAGCCGGGTAAGACTTGGTCTACACAGTGAGTTAAAAAGTAAATATCTTGAAAACAGCTTAAATATAAGACATTGTACAATATGTATTTTACTTAGAAAATACTAGAAAAGAACTCTGTCTTAATAAAAATTTAATTTGAGAATATAAAGAAAATATGTGTTGGTATTTTTGCAAAAAAGTATGTGCAGGTGGCGCCATCTATAAGTTATCGCACATTCGAATTTTTGTGGCAGTATTTTGAGAATTTTGAGCATAAGTAATAAATACTTTGACTATACAAGAGATTTATTTCACAAATCGAAATATTTTGATAGAAAGAATATGCTGGTATTTTGTGGTCCATTCTGTAGCCCGTATAAATACATGATTGGCAATAAAATTTAGAGTATTTTTTTAGAAAACTCAAGCATAACGCAACTACACGGTGGCAAAAAAATCTTTTAATCAATTTTCCCTAAAAAAATTTTTCTAGATTTCCAATAGTAAATCTAGTATACTTATTACTAATGCGCCTTTGTATTTTTGGACCAAGCTTAAAACTTTTTTGTATAAAGTTTTCAATTAAAGATTATTAATAATTATGGTTAATTTTTTGAAATTTACAACGTTTTCAAATGAAGAACCTTATACCAAAGTTTTCCTTTTTTGCAAAACACGATAAAATTATAAAAATGCAGTGTGCTTCCCTTTGGACAAAAAAGACATTCAATTATTCCTTTTATATGCTACTTTTTGATAACCCTGTATTTATTTAGGCCTCAGATAATGACAATCATTAGCTGAATAACTGCGAAACTTCACAAATGTCCCAATATAGCAGGAGAAGAAATCTTATCTAGAAATATGTTCAAGTAGCAGGAATCCCAAACTTCTATGGAACCGACAAAAACATCTAGAAATTCTTCAGAGTTCAACACAAAGCATCACCCTTCCAGAGAAACTTGATAATCCCTTTGAAATCAATAATTTCTTTTTAAAATACTCTGCTAAAGTTGACACAGCTGATTCAGAGCTTTTAAATTATTATACACATAACAAGAAAACCACTTTTCAAGAACCTTTCACATTTAAAACAATTATAGTTGAGGAAAGCAAGAGACATCATAGCATTAAATCCCTTGCTATTGGTGCAGACCTTTAGTTCTGCCATATATTATGATTATAAACTCCTCTATATTGGAAAACATTTTTCTGTCAGAATGGAAAGTTGTCAAGGTGAAGCCACTGCCGAAGAAGAGTAGGGCAGAATAATACAATGATCTGCGGTCCTTGTCTATCAAGTGTTACAGACAATATATTTCAAGCAAGTGATGCTGGAAAGAGTACCGCACTGTTTTACTGGACTATTCGAAAGCGTTTGGCACTCTCAATCACCAACTTTTTCTTACAACTTTGAATTACATAGCATTTTCCAAGGAGTCAGTTGCTTTCATGAAGAGTCGCTTGCAAGGTAAATTTCAGTCTCTCAAAACTGCGCAGGGTCAGTCTCAGAGGAAACAAATTATGAATAGAATTTTTCACGTAGCAATTTTAGCGCTGCTGAGTTTTTCCGTATATTGTTGCAATATGACAACGTGTTTACGCCATTGCCAAAATCATTAATACGCGGATGACAGCCGAATCTTGTATTATTTTTATTTTAACTGGTGGAAAGAGGATAAAAATGTAATTAAGGGCGATCTACAGCGACTGGTGTCATTCTCAGAGAAACATAGTTTAAAGATTAATTCCACCAAATTCATTCATTTTTTTTTTGCTAGGGGCAAGCACACTCTCAATAATACAATGAATCTGTCAACCACAGAAGGCCCCTATCAGTTTCTGACTATGCTAGAGACCTGGGATTCATGCTGGATAGTGACCTAAGATTTAGGCGAACCTTCTTCATTTGAATAACAATACAACAAAAACTCCAATTGATTGACTGTCTTGTTTAATGTTTAATGTTTGGAGTAGAACAATAAAAAAAGAACCCAGAAAACTCAAAAATCCTGTTTGAGATTCATCTATGACTGACAACAAAAAATATCTTCCCATCTGGAATAAGTTAAGGGATGCAGGGTGGCTTGACATGGAGCAACGAAGAAGACTCCACGCTCATGTCTTTTTTCATAAGGTTATTGTATCAGGAACGCCTTCGTATGTGTCAAATCATATCAATTATACAACTGATATTCATAAGCTAAATATGAGATTTCGAGGTCTGATAATCCCACCACAACACTCTATCACAATGTTTAGCAGAAGCCTCTCCTACAACGCGTATAGCCTGTACAATGGGATTCCCCTTACACTAAAATAACTTAAATAAAACTAAACTAACCACTGATTAGTGAAAAACAGATTCCCGTACCTCTCCTCCTTAATCCAGTACCTGACGATTAGTATTTAAAAAGAAAATTGAGCTTCATAGTTCCCAGTATCACATTATGGTTGAAGTTGCTGTTTTTAAGTTATCGTTAAAGTCGTCAGTTCTCTCTCCAAAATTACAAAATGTAATAATTATACAATTCACTTGTAAAAAAAATCTGTCGTCTGTGCTATTATATTTTTAGTTTGTAAGTTTGGTAAGATTTAGGGCTTGGGACTTGAACAATTTAATTACCTAGCAGTCCTTTTTGTATTATATTATGAGTTTCTTTACCGTTGAAGGTGCGAATAAAAGTACATGAAAGAATAATGAGGTTTTTATTACTCTTTACAATTCTTCCGGGTTTCTCCTGCGCCGCTTGTTGATGAATTGAAATTGTTGACGTTTCGCCAATCATCCTGTTGGCTTCTTCGACTCTTAACTGTTTAACAGGGAGGGGGCGGAGCTAATGGAGTGGCATGAACGCTATCTCAGATATATCGGTGAAAGGTGAAGGCCGGAATCGTGGTTAAGACTGTTTGGTTGCTAATAGATTTTTATCGATTTTCCGATTTTTAGTTGGTCGAAGAATTGATTACATGCAAGAATTTTAATTTTATCCAGTTTCGTGATTGCATTCGACAACTGCTGATGTTCGTGTTCTTTAAACCTAATTGTTATTTTTCGTTCAGTCTATCCAATGTATCCCTTGCCGCATATGCATGTAATGCTGCAGTCGACTGGTATCTCATACGGAATTTTGTCTTGGACGGATCGAAGATGCTGAGAGATTTTTGGTTTTGACGTTATATTTCTTAAGAACTTTTGATATGTGATATTTTGAACCTAAGGGATGACAACAATTTTGCGATGGAATGCTTAATATCTCGAATGTGGAAATTATCAGAGAGAAGAGCAGAAGTAAAGTAATTCTGGATTCAGTGACTCGGGTAGAGATAGTTTTACAGTTCTGTAAACAAGAGAGTTGATAGCCGATGATTATTGGGCCAGATGATGATGTGACATTGTCTGTGTGCTTAGGTTTTCTGTAAACGTAATGACTCAATGTTAGATCTGGTTCTCTATGGATAAGAATTTATAATAATGGGAGATTGATATTAGATTCCAATTCAATGGTAAAACCTATGTTAGGGTGTATACAGTTTAAATGATCAAGGAAATCTCAATGGGATTCTTCACCATGAGGCCAAATAACAAATGTATCATCAACGTAGCGTTTTCATAATTTTGGTTTTAGGTGGAAGGTATCGAGGTAATTCGTCTTAAAATCTTCCATAAATATATTCGCGATAATTGGTGACAACGAAGAGCCTATAGCTGTTCGTTACCGACGTTTGTTCAAAAATTTGTCCGTTATAAGAAAAAAGGGGTAATCCTGGTTGGTGAATCTTAGGGAGTCCGTGCAGACTAGGATTTTTAGAATCACCATGGGTGGCAGACTTTTCCAGGGATTCTGAAAGAGAAGAAGCTTTATTAAAAGATTTAAGGTTGTATTCTTTAGATGACGCAGGATCTTTTTTAAACGACGGTAGGACTCGTTTGTAAAAATATCTTCAATTTTTTTCTGATATTCACTTGTGTTCCTGACTACCATAGCATTTCCTTTATCTGAAACTGGTGCGCACTTTTCTGTATCTGATTATATATGGTTTGAGGTGGCGGAGCTAAAGGAGGGGCATGAACATTGCTCGGAATGGTGATTGCCATATTGGTGAAAGATAACAGAATGATGTGAGACCCGGTTTCTAGATTTTCGGATTTTTTGTTGGTAGGAGATTGCATGCGAGAATTTTAGTTTTATCGAAT